CTTCCTGCTCACCTTCTAATCCGCCTCCTCCACTCTGACAGTCTCAATGTCCTCCATGAACTGGAGGCCTTGGAAGCAGCATCCAGGTGGCTCATGGCCAACGGCGATGGCCAAGAGGATCTGGCCAAGGAAGTCCTGTCATCGGTTCGCTTTGCCCTCATGTCCGGCCGGGAACTGAAGAAGGTCTCGTCAGTCACTGCAGGGGTTGCTAACCCAAAGGTCCTCCACGAGCTCGTGGTAGCAAGTTTAGCACCCATGGCCCAGCTGCCATGCCGAGTGCGTTCCTTGCAAGAGGTGCTGGTGGTTTGTGGTGGAGACAAACTGACGGCCAACCTGGCTGCCCGCAAGCCCAGCAGACACCTCTGGTTTGCCCACCGCTACCTCAGTGCTGTGGGGCTGGTGAAGCAGGTGGAGTGGAGGGCACTGGGACATTTCCCTGATGGCCCACGCTTCCGCCATGCTGTAACTGTGGTGGGCAACATCCTCTACATCCTGGGTGGAAAGCGCTACTACGGGGTCCATGACACCCTGGCCAGTGTCTACAGGTGAGACCTACAGGGGACCTAGAGGTGCTGCGTGGCACCACACCATTGTGGGATCAGAGGAAGTGTTGGCAGAGCTAGAGCTGCCACAGGGAGCCAAGGCATTGTGGGATTGCGGTTGGCCAAGTGGCCCCAGGACATTCTGAGCTTGGCTGAGTGTAGGACTGGGAGGTGCCCTCCCACTCTGGGACATTACAGGCTTTTTAGGGGTAGGGCAGGGAGGCTTCTATCTGGAGATGCCTCAAGGCATGATGGGTTTGATATTGCCCAGAAGGAGGGGATATTCCCATGCAAGGGGACTATGTGGCACCAAGGCATTATGGAATTGGCTGGTTGTAGGTGGGTTGTTGCCCTCAGCGGTGCCAACATCACCTCATGGCATTGTACGTAACAGGCAGTCTCTTGCCTGCTTTACCTCTCAATCCCAGGTACCAGCCTATGGACGATTCCTGGGAGCGCCTGGCCAGCATGACCTGTGGGCGGAGCTACTTTGCTGCCGTGGCACTCGGGGATTTTATCTACGCCCTGGGGGGCTGCTCAGGGGAGCTCTACTGCACAGACACTGTGGAGTGCTATGACCTGGCCAACGACACCTGGAGGTGAGACCGCTCCACATGGACACCTGCTTTCCCCTGCCCCAGCAGCCCCTTGCATTGGCCAGTGGTGCCCATTGAGTGGTCTTTGGGTCACTGAGCCTCCAGTGGAGAATGGGCCAACCGTGGCCTTTGGGAGAGATCTACTGAGTGTTGAGCAACCATGTTCCTTGGGAGTCATGGGTTGTTGGCCATTGTTGCCTATTGGGTGGTCTGTTGGCCATCTGCCAACGAGATGAATCATTTAAACATCTTCCAGCTATGTTCATTGGGTGCTCTGTTGGGTGTTGGCCAACATTGTCCATTGAGGGAGTCCACTGTGGGTTGACCAATGGTGTCTTTTGGGGTCTACAAGTGTTGAATGGTGATGCCCCTTGGGCATGCATTATGTCTTAGCGGATGCCGCCCATGGGGCTCTTTGGGTGTTGGCCAGTATTGCCTGCTGAGTGGTCAATGGAGCATGGCTCACTGGGGAACTCCTGGGCAGGCAGTCACCATGGGGTAGCCCTGCTTAACCTGCCCTTCACCTCCTCCCTCTCTCCTTGCCCAGGAGGTGCCAGCCCCTGCCAATGGCTCTGTGTGGGCACGCGGCGTGTGCCCTGGATGGTGCCCTCTACGTGTCGGGAGGGTGTGATGAGGCTTGCCAGTGCCAAGCATCCTTGCTGCGCTACGTCCCGGGTGCACCTGCCATACTCCTGGCCCCTATGAATGGCCAGCGAGCCGGCCACATCATGGAGGAGGCAGGTGGGCAGCTCTATGTGGCTGGGGGGTTGTGCCAGCGGGACGGGCAGACTGGCTACAGGGACCAGCTGGCCTTTGAGGTCTACAGCCCCAAGCTGGATATCTGGGTCCTCCTCAGCCCCCTCCCCCATGCCCATGTAGTTGGGGGCGCAGCCGTGCTGGGAGGGGAACTGATCGTACTGGGAGGGTATAGTCATGAGACCTACCGGGACACGCACTTGATCCACGCCTACCAGCCGGGTGCCCGGCGCTGGATCACCCGGGGCACCTTGCCCCATGCCTATACTGACCTCCAAGCCTGTGTCCTCACTGTACCCCCTGCCTTGCGTGGCCCCAGCTGCCTTGAGGATGCCTCAAGGTCACCTGACACCCCCAATAATACTTAGGGGGCTTATTGGGATCCCCAGGTAGCATCCACGGGCACCTCTATGGGACAAAATTGCCCCCAGATCCCTTTCCTAGAATGAGTTCCTCCTGTGGTCTCTGGCAACCCCACCCCACCCCCAGGGTACATGTCCTAGGCTGTGGGGACCCCATGGGACACAAAGACTCCCCACACTGCAACCTTGCACTCCCCTGCCCTGCGCCCTTCACTGGGAGCTGGGGATCCTCCAGTTTCCCACACACACTTGCATTAAATAAAAGTGGCTCCTGAACTGCCCATCTGGGTCGTCTTGTTTCTGCTGACATCCAGGTGCTTCTCGCAAGGAACAGGACAGCAAGAGCCCAATGGCATGAGTGTCCTGGCTGGGAGGTGATGGTGACCAGGATTGCCTTGATTCCTGGATTTCCTGGGGAGCTGTGGGTGGTGGGCACTGGGGCTCTGGGCAGCTGCGTTCTTTGGGCATGGAGCAGGGTGTGCGTGTGTCTAGGGATCGAGAAGCATCTTGGGGTGCATGGAGGATCCTGAGGGAGTGGGAGAGTCCGGGGGGTGCCAGGGTTTTGGGGTAGATGGTAGGGTAGATAGGGTGCATTGAGGGGTCCTGAGGCCTTTGGTGTTCCTAGATGGTTCTGGGAGGTCTTGGCTTCCTGGAGTGACCTGGAGTGGATGTTGTGTGGAGATGAGGGGGAATCCCAGGGAGGACTTGCAAGGAGAGGCAGAGGTAATTGGGATTCTGGGAGATACTGGGGTACCAGTGGTACCTTTGAGGAGGGAACTGAGGGTCCTGGGATGTGTAGAGAAGGGTTTCAGGTTCTCACAGCTCCTCAAAACAGTATTTCAAGTGTGGTCTAATGAGCACTGAGCAGAGCAGGATAATCACTGGCTACACTGCTGTTAACCCAGCCCAGGCTTCTGTTGCTCTCTCTTTGCTGTCAGGGTGCACTGCTGGGTCTTGTTCACCTTTCTGTTGACCAAGACACATGGGTCCTTTTCCATTTCTCTGCTCCCCAGCCAGTCCATCCCCCACAAGTGCTGTTGTGGTCTTCCTTCCCAGGCATGGGACTTTGCACTTGGCCTCATTGACTTTGATCAGGTTTCTGTCACCCCACTTCTCAGGGTGAAGGGTGCTCCCTTAACGGTAGTCCTGTCGGAAACGTACGAACTGACCCCTCTGAATGTGGTGTCATCTGCCAGCACGACAAAAGCACACTCGGTCACCTCCTTCATGCCATTGATAAAGAGGTTCAACAGAAGAGCTTGCAGCACAGCCCCGTGCAGCACTCCATGTGTTACCAGCATCCAAGTGGAGTATGATCCGTTAACCACTAGCCATGGGTTCTGACCTTCACACCACTTTTTACCTGTCCAATCCTCCAGCTATTCAGAGCTTGATGGCCTCACCTGGATGCCATGACATTGTGGGAGGACTGTCAAAAGGATGTCAAAGCTCCTGGAGAGGTGACAGCCGATGTGTGTTGCCCCACTGCAGAGCTTCAGCAGAAGAATGTGAAAAATGGCACCGTTACAAAACATGAAAAGGCATCCTTGATCACCAACGTTGCTGTACGAGACCAGAAGGGGATGAAAAATGTTCCAAGGTGTAGAAAAAGTATCTGATACAGGAAAAAAAAATCAATGTAAAGGAACAGTTCAAACTGAAGTCATAGGAGTCTCTGGTGTCACTGGGGTCTCCCCGAGGCCACCCGTGTGTCCCTGGGATGCTCTGAGGGTGTCTGAGGTCTCTCAGACTGTTGCAGTCATCTCTAGAGTTGTTCCGAGAGATTCTGGGTCAAATTTGGGGTCTCTGGGGCTGTTCCTGTTGTACCAGTAAAGAGGGAGAAAGTACAGTGGGGTCTGAGGACAGCACCAACACACTGACCAATGCTTGCTTACAACCATGGAGCTTGCATGTCCGCAGACGCACTAGCACACAAGAGCTTGACCAGCAGATGCACTGGGGTAGAAGGATGCTCACCCAGCTGGCCAAGCACAGGCACCCGTACCTTTCTGTGGATCAGTTAATTAATCTGGCAGAAGGCCTGCTGACCCACAGCAGCTGAACGACACCTTTGGGACAGTTAGAACTGGAACAGCGTTTGCCACTGCAAAAATGACTCATATGATCCAGTGGCTGCATTTGTGCACCAGTGCCGGGGCCCGGCTTTTGACCCCCACCAAAGACAACCTCTATCTCCTTCTCACAGCTACCAAAATGTTTGGGTGACTTCTGCACAGGTGATGGCAAAGTTTGGCCAGCCCCTGGACATTTTGTCCCAGTGTGATCCCTTAAAAGTCACATCCATTGCCCTCCGAAGCCTCCCACCCTCCTTCCCCATTTCCAACCATCCCATGATGGCCCCTAAGGTTTCCTGAAGCTACTCCGTGATGGTGGGATGCCTTTCTCATCAATCACGAGTCAATCACAAAGTGAAGGATCATACATTTGGGGCAAAAGTCAGGAAGCTGAGTATAAGTGGACTTTTCCTCTCTGTCCTCACTGTTCCAAGTACTGAAGACAATTTTGTCATTCGCTGTACCCGGCCAGGCCTACGGGAGGTCCAAGGAAATGAAACTAGCACCCACGGGAAATTCAGGCAAAGAATATTTATTCTGTGATTAACAACGTGGCACTCAGTTGAAAGCGTGGCGTGTCTTTATGTGCATCATTCGAACAGAAGCGGTTGGGACACAGCGGAAGCTCTGCTTTCCAACACTCACCCCAAAACCAGTGTCAGCCCCAAACTGTCGCTCATCAGTTTAGGACATCTTCTCCCCCTGCCAAGTACTCAGGTAGCTATTTCAGGTCATGAAACCACAGGGGGTGTGAGAGTAACACGAAGGGAAGGAGCTGGACAGTTTCCCCGGTGCGAGCAGATCTTTCCTCTGCAAAACAAGGGTGTGTGAAGCAAAGCCACGACCCTCCATCTCTTGTCAGCCCCAAACTGTCGCTCATCAGTTTAGGACATCTTCTCCCCCTGCCAAGTACTCAGGTAGCTATTTCAGGTCATGAAACCACAGGGGGTGTGAGAGTAACACGAAGGGAAGGAGCTGGACAGTTTCCCCGGTGCGAGCAGATCTTTCCTCTGCAAAACAAGGGTGTGTGAAGCAAAGCCACGACCCTCCATCTCTTTAAGCATATTTCACCCTGACATCACCGATGGCCTGGACACCCCTGTCCAGGCTGTAAGCAGAAGGGGTCCTGAGGGAGTCAAGGTTTGTGACCCTCAGCTCCTTGGAGAAAGACTTGAACGAAACATTCGGAGGACTATGGTGGACCCACAGCTCCTTTGTGGTGCGGAAGGAGGAACTTGCAGGAGGACTGCGCTGTATCCCCAGGTCTTTAATAGTGCAGTAAGTGACCTGAGGGCACAGCTCTACTTCCTTGATGGTACAGAACGTGGGGCGCTGGAGGGATCTTCCGAAGCTGCTGAGATGCATCACAGGGCTGCCTGTTGACTCCCTCTGTCTCAGCGGTAGAAACTGCACCTCTTGGGTCTGTGGGGACTTGCGCCAGGAGGGCCGTCCCGCCAGACACATCCATGCCAGCCCGCCTGCTAGAGCCAGCACAGTCAGGACCAGCAGAGCCAAGGAGGCCAGGTAGAGCACCCAGTGCAACAGGCAGCAATGCTTCAGTACCCACTGCGGACCCTCCTCACCCGCCCGCAAGCGCAGCACCGGCACCGCCAGTCCTGGGGTGGAGCACGGGCAGAGGGGGAGAGGTGCAGGCGGAGGGGAAGGTGCAGGCTGGGTGAAGCCTGTGGTGTTCGGGGGAGCTGGCGGTGTCGGGGCATGACTGGAAAGCATGGTGGTGGAGACCATGGGCATAGTTGACGTCAGAGGAGGAGATGAAGATCTGACAACAGAAGAGGCCTCTAGCACGTCAGTAGAAGGCACTGCCGTGGAGGCAGTGGAAAACATGTCAGTGGACACCATGAGAGTGGCACAGGTGCTGGTAGTGCCAGAGGCAAGGGTGGTTTGGGGATGGCTGCTGGTGCTGGCAGGTCTGGTGCTTGTAGTGGTTGGCAGTGAGGTGACAGAGACCGGGGTGGTGGGTCTATGAGGGGTGCTGGTGGGAGCTGCAATGAGCATGGCGGCAGTGCTGGGGGTCTGCGTGCGTGGGACAGTGGGACTGGCTGGTGGAGAAGTGGTGGTACTGGGAGCTCTGGTGCTGGCAGGCATTGCAAGTGAAGTGCTTGGGGCAAGGGTGGAGCTACCAGGGATGCTGAGGGGAGGTCTTGTGGTAGCAGGGAGAGGCCATGGAACAGCATGGGGCATGGTGGTGTGCTCTTTGGGGCTGGATGGATGTTGGGGAAAGAAGGTGGTCATGGTAGCTTTCTCCATCACTTCTTCCCAATTGCCGTATTCATCCTCTTCCTCCTCATCTGCATCCCCCACATTGCCACAGTTGGGCTTGAAGCTGATAATGGGCTTCTGCCAATGCTCAGGGGGGCTGTGGCACAGCACCCTCTCAGGGGCAACCTCCACCTTTGTGTTGTCCAGGCCCCGGTCCGGCTGATAGACGCTGCCCTCGTTCTGCCGGATCCAGTTCCGCAGGTAGCGCAGGGCGCAGTCGCAGTGCCAGGGGTTCTCCGTGAGGAAGACATACGCAAAGAAGTGCCCCTCGGGGAAGAAGTCGGTGGGCAGGGTCTGCAGGCGGTTCCCCGAGAGCCAGAGGATCTCCAGCTTCTGCAGATCCTGCAGCAGCTCCTGGGGGAGCTCCTCCAGGAGGTTGTCCGAGAGGTCCAAGTCCTTGAGCGCCCTCAGCCCCGCAAAGACCTCCGGGGGCAGCGTCCGCAGGCGGTTCCCTCTCAGGTCCAGGTCCTCCAGC